AGCGACAGCAACTGCGACAGCGACGTCGTCGTACGATAACCGCTAAGAGTACCTAACATCTATGATTAGCTAAAAACAAGTATGGTATTAAGTGCTGAAGCTGCAGAAGTGTACGACTACTAAATACCCTACAAGAAGAGTGCTTTTATTTTGAGTAAGCAGTTAGAGCTTTTCTCTATACAAATTGATATAACTAGGAAAATAAATTCGGCATATAAAAATCTAAATATTTGTAAGCATATCAAATTCTATAAGTAATATTCTAAAACTTTTCGAGTTATAGCAAAAATCGATTAAAGTTAAAATATCGGTTTTAACATTTATGTAACAGGCATACATTTAATATTTGCAGATCAAGTATTTATATATACGTATATTCCATACATTCATGAACAAAACAAGAGACAAGTTTTTAACTCTCTGTCACATACTTTATCACCCCATCAATATAACCTCTGTGTTACATACATTTCAGTTTCATAGTATCAAGAGCACATTCCTGTGGTATCAACTGAAGCAGAGTGTGGTCTAGCTGCTTGCGACAAAGAGTCTTATCAAATCGCGATCTAATCACCGCGATATGATAATTAGCATTTATATGGATATTACTGTTTTCCTCTGTGGGACTCTGGCTGACGTGTGGGTGGTGTATATAACTGAGTCTAGCTGGCGTGGTTTCTGTGGTTTAGTCAGCAAACAAAATGTGCTACTGGCTGATTGAAATGCAATCATCATCAATTATGAGGCGTTTACGTAAAGTAAATTGGAAAGAAATATTGCCACAGTAAAATGTAGAAATTGTATATAGTACAACAAAGAGGTTCTCTTTTTATATGGTATATCAATAAAAAAAAAAAAAAAAATAATAAACAAAAATATTTAATCAAAGAACAACCTGTTATGCATCTAATTCGGGAATTAATTAAGCATGATATACGATGTGATATATTTTATCATTAAGGCTTTGAGAAGGAGCAGGAGGAGAATAGAATGTGAAATATAGCTAAGTCGAAATATATTTTAAGCCGTAAATAAATTTGTTTCATAAAAGTATTTGCCTAAAAGCAAAAACATTTTGCTGTCGTTGATAGATGAACAAGTCAATAATATGAAATATGGCCACAGTGGGTGGAGATAGTTAAATGGGTTCGAATGGGTTCAAGTTTAGGATATATAATACGTATAGTTTAATTTATATTTAAATAGACAAGCACATAAATCTTTTTTTTATACATACGGGATTATTTCATTGAAAAGCCCCGCACTAAAATACAAACAATTTATGATGCTTTTCTGGGATAAGTCTAAGGGAAATATGAGGAAAATATCTTACAAAAATCATTTCAGAAACTCAGATATCTCAAATATTATAAATAATATTAATGTAGATATACTTATAACAAATATTTAATATTAATTTTTACTAAACTAAACTGAAACAAGTTGAGATTTATGCAAAAAGTTTTTTTTTTTTTTAAATACATTCCTAAACGCACTTTGAATACAAAATAAATTTTCTGAAAATCAAACCTAATTCTCACACAATCCCCTAAACACACACACACCTTTGATATAAGCGCTATTATGTCAATCAATATATCAGCTAGAACAGCTGAATAGCAGCATTTGATAAGCGTGTGCCTGATTACAAAGCACTTACAGCAATAAAAATAAAACAACAAAATAAAACTAACAAGAGACGTCATTTGCAAATAGTTGGAATCGAAACAAAATCGCATTATATATCGTATATACGTATATGTATGTACATATGTACATATGTATAACGACTGACTTACAGCTGCTGCGACGATGATTATCATTAATTTAACCTGTTGATGAAAGCAGTTTTTCCGTACACGATAGTCGCGCTCTATCGTCGACATTTTATTATGTGCCAAAAAACCAACAAAATATTCACATGGACTGCGCAGCGAGAGGAGTACGAAAAATCGGCATCAAGAGGGGAGCGCGCGATAATTGCGAACAGCGCCAAGTGTTGAGTTAGCGTGAAATTTATCGCTGTGAATACGTCGAAAACATAGCCAAACTAAAGCGCAACAAATGAGAATGATATTAATGATATTGATTGACTAGGCACATATCCTAGAAAATTTGATATTGAAAGAGGAATTTGAGATTATAAGAGTAGAAGATATTAAGAATTTTTTTCTAGAAATCTCTTATAGAGTGAGTTACTAGAGCAGAGGTCTTTAAATATAATTATAAAGTAGAATCAAATATATGTCTAGATCTATTTACAGATGGAAATTGATTGCAAGTAGAACATATATTATTTATAAATGCATACTATATTTTATTGTTTGCTCACTGCATCAGAGACATTTGAGAAATAATAGAATGGCATATATGTATAAAGCACAACATTATATACAGATAAATCTGTATATAATGATAAGTGTATGAGTAGTAGTTAATGTTCAACGAAAACACAAAGATATAAAAATCATTGTCTTATATATGTATTTACCTATCTGTATCTCTTATTTGCGTACTACACCCTCTCGACTACCATTGCTTACAGGGTATATAATGAGAATGTGCAGCATGCATGCCATGCCGTGCCATGCCATGCGCAGTCTCTGTGTGCCTCTGCCTTTTTAATTTAAGAAAATTGTTGCAGCAGGCCACCTGCGCGTATACGTAATCTAAATTTATTGGCTCATTAGAGAATTGTGTAAATTTCGCACGTAAGCAAAACCAAAGTGAATAGAAAATAGAAAATTTGTATATATTGGCAGCACTTTTTTCTTCTAATTGGCATTTATTTGCGATATACGCTACGCTCAAAATATGCGCTAGAAAGTTCCAAAAAGAAATGCGAAATGTTGACAAACTGTCTGAATCATTATTCAACACTGTCATTGTATCGTCCACTTTCCCTCTCTACTCCTGCCAATGCACTTGGCTTAACGCTTTTGTTTTTACAGCACTTACAGCAGCTGAGAGAGTCAACATCTGTGAGGCGTTTTTAATTGCGAGTCAATATATACGACTATATGTGCTTGTGGAGTTTGCGGAAAGACTTACTGAACCATATCAGTTAGACAGTGTGTACACACTGTTCTCCAGCTTGAAGCACAAGAACAATCTTTCAACTGAACGCAAGTAGAGTGAACTCCAGCTGGAAGTGAAGTGTTGCGTTTGTGTAAAGCTCTTTTCAACGTGTTTGCCATGGGGGGCTTAGTGTTGGTAAACACATTCGATCAGACGACATAGCGGTAAGTAAGCAAATATTGTAAAAAGGTAAGCAAGAGTTGCTGAGATAACAAAGCGCACCAAAGCACAAAGCTTCCAAGAAAATATTCAGTGAGTAAACTCTTTCTGAATGATATTGGGTTATAAATTAAGTAAATATACCAAGATGGTTTTACTTAAGTTGTGCAACACTGTAAAGGTATTACCGTATGAATGAGCAAATATGAGATGAGCCTTCAAGACAAGAAACTAACTACAAACTGTAAACATATCGTTGTGCAACACTGGAAGGTGCTCTATTGAATAGGCAAGGTTAGATGGAATGAATGTTTAGGAATAGAGATGAGCTCCAAGCTTTATTATGTTAACTAGCTCATAAGCTAGCCTTAAAAGCTAGAAACCATTCCATAATTCTTATTCGATTATCATTCCCAACAAATATCCATCAATATGTCGATAAACACAAATACAGTTCATTATACTTACTACTTTCAACCCACCTAAGGGGGCTTTATACATAAGTCTAGTCTAGTAATCTAGTAACTTGTTATTTGAATGTTATCGCTCACCTGCAAAGAAATAGAGAAGAAAAGAATAATTAATAAATGGTATTAGACTTTGTATAAAAATGTAAAACAATTTAAATTATCCTTAGGGAAAGACCAGAAAATGCCACAAATTATATAGCTTGTATATTTAGGGACATTTAGTTTTCTTTTCTTTAGGAGTGTCCTGCTTCGTGCTTTTCTTTTATTGTATTACCACTCCATATCATATAACATACCTACTTTTTCGTGGGGGGCATTACAAACGGCTTGAAAATGTTGTCAAATTGCAATGTGAAAACGCAAAATGGACGCAGCAACAGCAGAGCGAATGTATTGTAGATGCCTTCAATTAATTGGCGTGTTTAGCGAGTGGCAACAGCGCAAAGCCAATCGAAAATTTATAAAAATAAACTCAAAATCGCAGACGTCAAGAATCGAATGCATTTTTGGCCAACAGCCATGCCGGCCAAAATCTTGTCAATGAAATGTTAATGCAAGTGTTTATGTATATGTATATCTATAAAAATAAATGCATAAAGAATCGGATATAGTTTTCGAGCCAAGTGCGAAGTCAGCTGTGAAATGAAAACGAAAATGAAAAGAAACTAGCATCTAGTTGGGGGCAGGTGTCGACTTGGCTATTATATAAGGCCATATATAGAGATGATTCTAGTGGGTTGCTCGCACATTCACATTCGACAGTCTAAAATATTTACAACAATTTTTCATCAGTCATCTGACAGGCGTTGAGTTAGTCATGCTTTCGCCCTGTTCTTGTTTATAATTGAAAATTCCTTTCACTCTTCACATCTCACATTCGAAATGTCAAACAGTGGGCGGACGGTTAATTGATGTCTAGAACATTTTTTGCTCACACAATCAGTGACCGTGGCCTTTGTAGCATGAATTTATTTTTGCATATTTTTTTCAGATCTATCATGGGCAAAGTACAAGTTATAGGGGGTGGGTTTAAGGAATATTTCGTACTGAAGGTCTCAAGTTACTTAAAAAAAAAAAAGATGATAATGCGAGCGGTTTTCTGGTTTCAAGTTACTTAAAAATAAAATGAACTTTTGCTATTCTATGTATAAATATATAGCAAGAGCTATCAAGAGCTTAAGCTGGCTAAGATAGAGCTAAGGTGTATCAGTGTGTATGTATAGCTGTTAAATGGAGTTGAGCCACAGTAATTTTGAATAATTCATGAGAATCAATCAGTGTGTGTGAGGCTGAACTGCAGCCTTTATAAACCGACAGTTTATTAACACAAGAACAAGAAACGCAAAACAGACATTAGAGAAACGTATTATTTAACAAGTTTTTTCTGAAATCGCAGCGCCAAGTGGCATCTCAGGTGTATCGTGTATCTTGGCCTCGTCGGGAATATCCTTCATTTGAACCTTGCCCACCTGAACTTCGATAACCGATTTGTTCGCATCGTCGTCTTCAAAGGTCGACTCAATCAATTGTACATCCGAGCTATCGAGGAATGTATTATCATTGTCATTGTCATTATCATTGTCATGATCATTATCATTATCATTATCATTATCACGATTAATATTCCTCAAACCCTCCTCCATAATGCCCGGCTCCGAGTTAACCAATAAATTATCTTCCATTTCCTCCTCGTCGATCAAGACCCCAACCATGGGATAATTCTTAGCGAGCAGCGTATCCCAGCGATTTATATAATCAATGATTGTCTCGCGCGGCTTTAGGGTGCGCTCCAAATATTCAGAGAAATTCTTTCCGGCCACACAGCCCAGCACACCCTGTGGACTAAACTCCTCCAAGCCAGACGAGACATCATAGATCTTTCCCTTGAACGCAATCAGAATCCGTCCATCACGGCGAGTGCCATCGTAATCCAGCAATTGATTTGCCGTCATCCGAGTAAACGGGAACGGTGGCAACTCTGGCGGCTTTGCCAACTCCTGATTAGGTTTCTTCTTCCCAGAAATGGCTCGCCAGAACCTCTGATAAAAGTGGCAAAAAAAGTAGCCAAGCACAATCAGACCGAATATTAGAAAACCATGAAATATTCCATTTTCCTCAGCCATTTTAGACATCTAGGATTAATGAATTTACTTTTATGGAAAAAACAGAAAATCTTTTTTTTTTTTACGAGAGCTGATATATTATTCTTTATGAAGTTCGGCTGTGACTGAATTTTAGTTTGTAACTGCGAGGATACTACTCAACGATTTGCAAAAGGTTTTCATAGCCAGCTTAGACCTGGATTTTTTTTTTCTAGGAGTGAAACTAGGTGTCAAGTTAGAAAGACACATATATCAATGAACATTTGATATTTTTTTTTTGGTTAGTACAAAATTGTAAAATTGTAAAAAGCAATCAAATTTAAGATTTAAAAATAGCTCTTTTTTTTAATTTTTTATTTGATATATTCGAGCATTTTTTTGCTTTCATCATTTTGCTGATGGCAAATGGCATAAATTATATTTAAGGTAAGCTTCTTTTAATTTTATTATTGTTATAAAAGACAAGAATGAGCATTTACTACGTAAGATAGGCTCTAGGATCATATATCATTATATAATAATTCCGATAATCATATTTGAGAAATAACATTTTTATTCCGAGTTATAAATCTACGACCAATCATAAATATTTCAGACTCGACAACAATATACCCCATCGAGCGCAGAAAATCCAGATGCTAATTGGACATTTTAAATTTAAAATTTTTCTCTTCTTCAAGCTATTTTTGCTTTTCTCTTTGGATCACCGCAGTTGACAGCTGCGCAGTGCGTATAGCAAACAAACAATTGCGTTGATAATAGCAGGCAGTCATCGTATCAGAATGATATCAGGCCAGACGAGTGCCACACGGCCAGACCCACTTGTAGCAGGTGATAATGGCAGTGGGAATAACAGGAGTTCAGAAATGCGAGCACCCAAACCCAACGGCCTGATAATGTTTTCAAAAGAGAGTGAAAACGCGAGAGACGTTGATACAAAGTGTACATAAATATTTTGTATTATGCAGTTATCAGTTGATTAAATATGAATTACACATACAAATAAACAAACATACACAGAGTGACAAAGGGGAGAGAGAGAAAGAGAGTGAGTGACAGAGTGAGACACATACACAAACACAAGTGTCATATGATAAGCGCCAGCAAATACAAAATACATATTTCATATACAGGGTGTTGCATTCCACTAGGGCAAAACAGGGGTTTGAGCAAAGACCAGGCCAGCAATGTAAAAAGAGCAAACAAATAAATAACACAGAGCAGAATGTGTGTTGGCAAAGGGCTTAGGCAAGTGAGCTACAGTAGCAGCCACTGTATAAGACAGTATCTTAGAGCTCTATGAAGATGCTGATGATTAGTTACTTATTATCTTGTGTAAGTTTTCCATATTATTATGATTGAAAATTTTTATTTTTAGAATATATTTATTTTGTATGCTGGATATGATTTATATTAATAATACTTTGGAACTGTTTCGATTCTCAAAACAATTCTGTAGACATACAAATTATTGATTTGGAAACGGTACATGAATTTATAAAAATATATAGAAGATATAAAAGAAGTTTTGGAGCACACATTACTAACATACTTCTCATTTTGTTTTTCATTCTCAAGGAGTTTGAAACGTGCTTTGGTCAGCAAGACTTTGAAATACCCTTCACGCGAAGTGCGAGATCGCTGAGATTATATAAAGACTGACAGAGACAGAGCTCAACTCAGCTATTAGGCATGTTAATATATTGTATATAATAATAATACAATAATTCAGTTGAATACGGTTTGAACGACGCTCCAGAGACCCAGACGGCTTATACCCGGAAGACGCTATAGCCGTATAAGTCGACTTATATAAGTTTGTCTGGGGACCAGAAATTTCGTCGCAATAACCGTATGGATACTATGAGAGAAGTCATTATAACCGGGCTCTACTGACTAAAGTGTATTTTATTATTATAACCTAATAATTTATTTATATTTGAAACCAGTCCAACATGGTAATATTTCATAATGGTATGAGTTCCATAATTGAATCCGATTTTTCATTGCGACATAGATCCGTATATTTAATAAGGTAAAGGTATTACAGATTATATAATATTTATATTTACTTCGTCATATTAAATACTCAATATATATGTAATGAAATATGACCAAATTTATTGCTTGTAAAATTTTCTGTAGCCAATTTCAGTTTCCATGAACTTGCAGGCTGAACTCTACAAATATACATACATACAATATATATACATGTACGCATATATACATATCTATATATCAACAATTTGTTTATTCTGATTGTTAACTGTAGCTACATGCTGTTATGCATTTCACTTACCCAATAAAATCTTTGATAAAACAATAAACCTTAAATAAACCGCGATCATTATTCAGCAAATAATCGGGCTGTATGACGGAGGCGGCCATAAGGCCAATGTTTGTTTGTTGTTGCAGTTGTTGTTGTTGCTGTTGTTGCTGCAGCATTGTTACTGCACTGCTGCTGCTGCTGCTGCTGCTACTGTTACTGCTGCAACTGTTGCTGCTAGCCGCCATTTTGTTGGCTAACGACGCAGCCATTTTGTAAATTGAACATGCATGTTAGCAGTTGCTGTTATTTATCTCTCTTGTTTATTGTTATTGTTGTACTTGTTGTTGTTGTTGTTGTTATTATTGTTGTTGTGTTAGCCGTGCACTTTGCATATCGCAACTGTTAACCGCCAGGAAAGAAATTGTTTACGTTTCAAATGAAAACACAGAAATCAAAACAAAACCAGAAAAAAAAACCAAAACAAAAAACAGAAGCAAAATTCAATTATTAAGCAATTGCCAAACATTTTCAATCAATGGAAAATTGTATTACAAAATTTGCCAATTCTCGTTTCGAGCAGGTGTGCGTGTGTATGTGTGTATCTAGGTGTGCTCATGTGTGTGTGTGAGTGTTGATAGGCATTGCATGCTTCATAATCAGAGACATTTAATCGTATGAGCCAAGCATTTAATTAACATTCCATTTGCCTCGTTGCGAGGCAATCATAAATTACACAGCTAGAGAAACGGAGAGAGAAAGAGACAGAGAGGGAGGGAGAACGACAGAATAGCACGGCAGATAGCACTCATATGGTATACCGTGTATGCTCTGGCTAAGACACCACTGTAATACACTCGCATCCTTAACAATTGCTCAAGCTGCAGTTCAATGCATAGAACAGAAGCAACTGAATTGTTGGGTTGAGCTTTAAAGCTTTACATTTTGTCTGTTAAGCTTTTTAAGCAAAAATTCAGTATATACTGAAGCTATAAACGCGAGGATCATAATGAAGATTTGATTGAAAGATATTGGAGTTGGTTAGATTTCTTTGTTAATAAAATAAAAAGTAAATCTATAAAAAATTCATCATCATGGGATATGGAAATAGAATACAGAAGTATGGATACTATATAAGCTCAAATTAAATAAGCTTGGCTTTAAATATAAAATATAAATTGGGAATAGATACGTTCAATTTAGTGCGAAAATAAGCTGATAGAGTCGGCCATGGTAGGCAATTTTTATAGCAAAATATACGTGTAGTTTCTCTTGAGGTACCCTACTATAAACACACACACACTGAGAAGCGGACAGACCGAAATATGTTGATTATTTTTGAAAAACTTGGTCGTTAGTCAGGCAGTTACTCAGTGAGGCAGTTGGCAACGAATGTCGCACACGTTGACAGTTTTGTTTTGGAATTATGACAGCTGGGCTGTCGAGTGCCACGCCCCCCTCATATCTGTGTGTGTGCAGCTATGTCAACGTGCGACTTTTACAAGTGTAAAACACAGCAAGCAACAAGCACGAGCTAAATGAAAAAGATGTTGCCGCCTTGATAAGGTGAGCGGCCAACACCAAAAAATATGAAAACGAAAAAAAAAAATATACTAAAGAAAAACATTGAAAAAGAAAAATTGTGTTTACAACGAAATTAATTAACATATTTAATTAAGGCAGCAACAAGCTGAAGCACACGTGCTTTAGATGCAAAATTAAATCAACGAGTGAATGTGGAAGCGAATATATATATAATAATGTATACATATATACATATGTATATAAACAAGCGCGAATGGCAGGTCGAAGCTTTGATACTCTTAGAAGTATTGTGGCTAGGCAGAAAAATTTTAATACCCTTAAAAATCTAAAGGAATAACATAAAAGTATTTTCATACAAATTTAAATAAACTATGCCTATTTCTTTACCTCATACTCATATCTTATTT